CAGTTGTCCTGTCTGGTTAGCGAGTGTTTGCACAAGAAAAACCTGCAGGCAACTTTGGTTTGGTTCAGCACCTTCTTTGACACTCATACACATCTGGCACTTTTCACTTTTCCCTAGCAACGGATTGTATCACATTCTCTATGGTGGACACCTCTCGCTGTCACAGTCACTTTAATTTAAATTAGACTTGTTTTGGAGCCTTTAAATGATTTTTTTAAAAATCTGTGATACCCAGCCATAATTTGTACAGGTCAAGTAGCTGACAGACACCAGGCAGGCATGATGGCAAAGCTGTAATCTGAGCTGGTTGCTGCTGCAGTGTTTGTTGTCTGCTGTAATCGAGGAGAGGCCTCTGACCGTAACTTGTCAGGGGTATGACAAAGCTTATGCATGCCAGACTGAAGTGCTAGCAGATTTCAGGGGGTTAAAAGAAGGCAAGCTAGGTAGAGAAATGCACTGCTGTCTCAGATACCCTGTAGTGTCCTGCAGTGGTTTGAGTCTGCAGTGTGCTGCTCTCTGGGGCCAGTCTGCGTAGCATCATGGTAGGGGTTAGAGTTACTGTGTTAGAAATGTGATAAAGACTCTGTATACTTGCGTCATTGCTTCAATTTTTGCATGTGTCACTAACAGCAGTCTACCAAACAGGCGTCTCGAGCTCAAATCCTAGACAAAGCCACAGAGTACATTCAGTACATGAGGCGGAAAAACCACACACACCAGCAGGACATCGACGACCTGAAGAGGCAGAACGCACTGCTTGAGCAACAAGGTAACAATTCTTATCGGGGAGAGGCGGGCTGATTAATACTAGTTTCGGTCTGCTGTGAGGTTTTCCACCTGATATGTGCAAGCGTGGACGACCGAACAATAAATGTTTGTTTGAATGTTTTGGCAATAAAGGAGTGTGTGCGTGCGTGTGTGTGCGTGCGTGTGTGTGCGTGTGTGTGTGTAGTATAGTTTTAGAACACACTGCTCTTTACGCATTAACAGATTTTCTTTTTTAGAAAAAGAACAAGTCTGCCCCCTTTTCTGTTCTAAATTTACTATAGGATCATCTGCAACTACATGGGGGAAATACAACATTTTATCATTATGTTTGAGCGTTTAATAACATGCCTCCTTGTACCTCCATGTAATCACCTAAAAGAGAATGGCCCCTCTAACGTCTCTCCCTCATGTTTCTAAAGTTTATGTATGAGATGTGCTTGTCTATTTTTACGTCCAGGGCCGAGGTTGCTCTAAGGCTAATATTTCCACGCTCCTCAGTAACCAGGTTACAATTGGCTTTCTCCAGTAAGCTCATTCTTAACAGTCATGTAAACGAAGATGGTGGTTACTAAAACCAGAGTGAAGGATTAGACAAACCTGGCAAAGCTCAGAATGATGGAAACAAGATTGATTTTCAACATAAAACGCAAAAGGACCTACAAATGTGCATTTTGTACCAAGCATTACTGGAGAATCCAAGAGACAAAAATGGTTTTAACTGTTGAGCACATAAGCTTTCTCAGAGACTTTGGAGAGACAAAGGTCTAAATATTGTCATTGTTTAGACCTTGAGCAAATTTGGACCATCATGTTCTGGTCTCTGATGTCCCTAAAATCCTCCAAAACTCAATGAAAGGTGTAGCTTAGACATGGTGCATTAATACACTCTTGTGCAAAATGAGGGTGTTGTCCATATGTACATGGATCACGTTTGTTTCTTAAAGTCTTAAACCCTCCTGATAACTGAGCCAAAAATGGTTGCATTGGCTTAATTTTACACTATAATACAATAAGTCACCATTTTTTAACAAAGTATAATACGCTTCATTGAGCAGAGTTAAGTGTAAGATACAGAAAATCCTTAGTGCAGTGTTCCCACATAAGGATGCAAGGTCTCAGGAGGTTAAAATTTTGTGAGACCTCTGCGTCATCACTCTGATTTTTTTCCCTTCCCCCCTTTTAAGCATTAGATTGCACAAAAATGCCAGCTGTAGCAAAACTGATAGAAATAAGATAATATATGTAAAATTAAGGGGTTTTTTGTTTGTTTGTTAGAAGGCTCAATAAACAGTCCAGTTTCAGGCTTTAAAGCAGTTTGATTAAGCTCATGTGACATTGTGGGCCACAAACAACCCAATTTAATGTTGAGTGGGCCGGCCCAAAGAAGCTGCCCTTTCTGTCAGTCTAAAAAGGTTTAACTACAGAATTTTGTGCTGTAACTTTTTTGTCATCTAATAGTTGATTTACTACTTTGTTACTTTGGTGTAGTATGAATAGCCACAGTAGAGCTATTTGCCAATAAGAGAAGTTGTTAAACTCATGAAACTGCAGATAAAAGTCCAAAGTAAATGCCCTCCTTCACAATTTCTAATGCCATCCAGATTGGTATCTTTGCTGGGGCGATTCTGGCCCCAGGATTCAGATCCGCTCTTAAGTTTGACTGTTTGAAATCTGTTTAATTACTTCAAGATCTCGCGCTGAAAGTAATCTGTTAGTGCTTTGAATGCATCCTAATCAGGTTTCTGTCCAGCTTATAAAAGCAGAGAATTATGATCAGCAGTGTTTCCTCAGACCAATCGTTTCTTCAGTAATTTTGAGTTCTCTGTTCCTTTGTGTCCACGCAGTCCGCGCTCTGGAGAAAGTGAAGGGCTCAGCTCAGCTCCAGGCCAACTATTCCTCGTCTGACAGCAGCCTGTACACCAACCCCAAAGGCAGCGCCGTGTCGGCTTTCGACGGCGGCTCCGACTCCAGCTCGGAGTCGGAGGCAGAAGAGCCACCCACCAGGAAGAAGGTGCGCGTGGAGGCCAGCTAGAGAGCCGAGCGTCTTAAAAAGAAAAAAGAAAAAAAGGAAAAAAATAGGTGTGGTCGAGGCAGCGGAGCACAGCGGAGGGCGAGAGGGGAGACGGCCTTCAAAGCTCTCGAGGCTCACCAACCTCTCCTACCTTCATGCCAACGACCACCTCGGCCTCCCTCGTCATCCTCTCTCCTCCGTCTCTGGGTGGGCTCGCACTGGAGACTCGTTGCCATCAAATCTCCTCACAACAGCCGCCACAATCGTCTCTCTCCAGCCAGTCTCCACCCACGGGAGAGAGGTTGTAAGCAGGGTGAAAGACAACTGCTTCAATCCACCTAGAGAGCTTCAGGTTCCCCTCCTCCTCCACCCCTCTTTCTTTGTTGATTTTTGTTCTCCATCATTGGTATCCTCCCCTTCTTTAGCAACATCAATCCAAATCCTAAAAAGAGGCAGCTTGGCTACGTAAGGACTTGATGCTCTTTTGTGTGTGTGTGTACCCTCAGTAAAGCTCCTCCTCCTCCCCCAAGTTATCTTTTTTCCTTTGGGAGGAAGGATGAGCCAGGTGTACTCTTTCAAGCACTGCTATGTTATGTATTTTTTTGTTTTTGTTGTTTAGAATTTACACACACACCTAGATAAAAAATGTTCTGGAAAGATTTACCTTTTTAAAAATGAATAAAACATTTGTAGCTTTCTTTTTTTTCCGGTAAAGAATGTGAAGATGCTCGGAGCAAATGTTAAAAGTGATAACCCACCTCAGCCCCACTGGATTGCAGACGTTTCCTGCAGTACACGCTTGTCAACACAAGATGATTAAAAAAAAGAAAAGAGAGAGAAACCTGTTCTGTTGAAATTGATGTTTTGAAGGAGAATATTCCTGAACTTATATCGTATTTTGTCCTTTAGCTTGAAGTAGTGGATGACTTTAGGTGGCTGAATACATTAGGCATCTCATTTTATATATTTCAAAAAAGCATTAATTGGATGTTTTCAAGTTCAAACAGTATGTTATGCATTTCTTTAGTGATCACACGAGTCATGAGATGATGCTGATTTTGTCACATGTAGTTTTCTTCAAGGTTATGAACTAGGTTTTGAATCTGAAAAAGTAGCCCCCGTCTCCTGCAGTACAGGGAAGCAAAAGAAGTCCATGTCGGTGTATTGTGCTTTACACAGTAAAAATCAATGTTGCTGAATCCCCCCCCCCCTCCAAGGAAAAAAAAAAGGAAGCATTTTCGTGTCTAGGAAATGTGTGTGTATGTATATTGTTTCCATTTAATTTCTATTTAGAAGGATATTATTAGTGTGGTAGGTCTTTGTCCAGTTCCATTCCATGGAAATTACAAGTATGTTGTACATACTGCCAACAATTGTCTTGCAAGTTGAGGCCTACCTTTACTATGAGACTATAAAATAAACTATTTTATCCTTTAGCTGTCTGTCTGTGGTCACTGATCAGCATTTCCTTCGGCGTGTGAAAGTGCTAAAATATTGGACTCTACTCAATTTCTTTTTTTCTTTTTTTTAAGAATGGAGACCATTTATGACAAGACCTTGTCAAACAGTAGATTGATCAACTGAAATGCTAAATTTCAACTGTTTAGCTGCTATTTGAGGCACTAAACATCAAAAAACTCAAAGGCTTTTCTTTTCAAAAAACTTTGCACAAAATGTTAAAGAAATATACGATAATTCATACACGGGGACCCAGAATTGATCTACTGACTCCCCTGATGAAGGCTTGTGTGTTGTGTTGGAAGGTTTTTGTTTTTTAAGTTAAACATGACAGTGCCATAAGAATAAAAACATATTTGAAATTTCATCTGAAAAGAAAGAGCCTTGGAACTTCTTTCCTCCTCCACCTGTTCAATTTCCTCAATTTTTTTAAGGACTCACTGCACACATACTGATATATGGCACATTTCCAGCTCTTTGGGAATCACTTGTTGGTCCAAAGCTCTGCATCTAAATCAAATTTAAGACCAAACTGGGAATGGAAATACCCATCATAGATGAAATCTTATTTGGTCATTAATGACCTGTGTCATCATCTTTATGGTTTCCATGTTTTGTTTTTCAAATTTTAAAATGCATTTCACAGTTAACAGTTTCTAGAAGTCTGAAAATGTGCAATCGAACTGAACAATGCAGCCACATGGCGTGATCGAAAAAACGGCGGCTTAACAAAGCTGTACGTGGGAACATTAAAGACTCAAACTGAATTTAACTGATTTATTGTGCAGGTGTAGTGAAGTCAGGTTTTTCTGGTTTTGTTTGGGAAATTATAACACATCAGGTAGACATAGTTTTTTTAACCAGGTGGCTGAGCAGCGGCCAACCCCAGCCTACTCTGTCTGTTCACGGTCATTCCCTTCTTATTTAGAGGATACTTTTGTGTGTGTTTCCTGCTCTCCGGTTTAACCACTCCCTGGATTTTAGAAAAGTCTACAAGCATCTGAAATATTTTAATTGCTTTAATATGTCATGTTCTTTGCCCTGAGTTGCACACATGTACCAATTTGATGACTTATTCAAGCGCCGAGTCTCCCTTCCCCAGTATCCACCTGTAACTGCCATTCCCCAGTTACTGTAAATAACATGTTTGCATGGAGTGAGCCTAGACACGCTGCCTTTATAAAGCTGATGCAATAAATCATTTGGCAAATGTCCAAAAGCTCCAGTTTCTAAAATGGGAGGGTGCAACTACTGAGATGAGAAAAACAATAACGCTTTACCCTTTTGAAAGCCTACTAGCAGTAACCCTTGCTGCTCTTCCCTGAACTGAGCGTCTTTCATACTTCAGGCCTGCTTATAGGACAAAATGACTGGGTCTGCATCATCTAGCTGTCATCTGAAAACCTGGAAAATATCCTAATGGTCATCAAACCGCATCTTTATTGTTACACACTGAGGTGTCAAGTCATCATTAAGGGTACAAAGGAAATAAAATGTGATCTTTATGGGGGAAAGAGTTAAGTAGCTGTCTTAGTACTTTGTCCCCATTTGTCCTGTAATCATAGGTAATCATGGATTCGACACAGTTTGCTACCTTTTAATTTGGCAACACAAACACCTGGTGAAGATCTACTGCATCCTGTTTTGCTGAGCTTCTAGTTAAAGGGAAATTACACCGAGTGTGATTATACACTCGCCGGCCACTTTGTTAAGTACACTAGTACCAAGTTAGATCCTCCTCTAACAAGCTGCTGGAAACATCTGACATGTGACTCTTGCCCATGTTGACATGATAGCATCAAACAGGTGCTGCACATTGGTTGGCCGCACATCTACGATGCAAATCGCTTGTTCAAACACATCCCAAAGGTGATCTGCTGGATTGAGATCTGTGGACGCCATTTGAGTACAGTGAACTCGTTACATTCACGAAACCAGTTTGGGATGATTTCGGCTGTGTGACACAGTAGATACACCATACAAGTGTGGTCACAAAGGGATAGACAGAATAGTATGTGGCATAAAAAAAAAAAAAAGCAGAGTTTGAATTTCAGGAGGTTGTTTTGACCATGCCTGTGTGTGTAAATACACCAAGTTGCTGCCCTATTGTTAGTTGCTTTACAAAAGCAGTGGAACTGGTGTACCTAATGAACTGGCCAGTGAATATAATATGTGTATAACATACAAACCCAGAAAAAACACCTGACCGACCCTCAGCACCCTAACACCATCATGAGAAAAGCTCTAACAAGTTTTATTAACCTACTGAAACCTTATAAAGTTCCACCTTTATTTCAGAGAATGAAAACAGACAATGCAAGCAAAAAAAAAAAAAGAAAAACAAAACATATTCAACTGAATGTGAGGCTGCCCTTGCAAAACCGTTGACCTTTATTTGGGGCAAAATTCAGCACTGGTCTGCAGCGAGGGTCGACTATCCCGCTTGTCCACAAAAAACCTGACAACAGCTTCCCGGCTCAGGGGCGATCCCAGAGCTGGCTGATTTTTGTTATTTTGTTTTGTTTTTTAAAAACGCACAGTGACGTTACTGCTGAGGACCAACTAGGACTGAAGGTCAGCTGATGAGGAGGCAGCAGCAGCGTCTGACTGTCTGTCTTCACCAGAGCCTCCCGGCTGCCTGCTGACCTCGGGAACGGGCATCCGGAGAAAGTGCTGCAGGGCCTGAGCCACCTTCTCCGGACAGATGTTGTAAACTGGATGAGTTGGTGCCTAAAAAGTCAGAAGAAGAAGAAAAAATAAGAATTGCAAGATATTTTGTTTGTCGCAGTATGTAATTTTTTTTCTTATTATATCCCATTACATAGCATGAACTGCAGTTTCACTATTATGATGCCGTTTTAACATTTTCATCACAGGAAGCTGCCACCATCCACCGAGACTGTTTTATTGATTTATCTGAGAATTGCACACCACAAAGAAACCCACTCTGAGCTGAAAACACCATAGCTCAGGCACTATAGGGATACAGTTTGAACCTGGCTGCTGTTTTAACCTACGAGCCGATATGCATATGCATGTGCAGGGGGAAGACTTACTGTAAACAGCTGTCAGTGCCAGTAATGCAACAGCAAACAGGAAAACAAAACCAAAACCAACTGCCGCGGCCTTTACGTGCAACCACACGTCATTTCAGTAGCTTCAATTTTTTTTTTTTTTTTTTTTTTATAAACCCCACTTATTGTAGAGCATCTTTCAGAGCTTCTCATTTTATAGCTCGCTCATATTAAACCTGACTGCACTGCACTCAATAGTCAGCACGGGAACAGCGTTGAGGCGTTTTTGACTCTTCTTGCAGGTGCGTGCAGATTAAACCATGGCTGATAAAAGAAAACCAGTACTTTAATTATTTACTGCATGGTGATGAAATGAAAGGGTGCAAAAAAAACAAGAAAAAAAGAAGCAGCAGTTACCCTTAAAGAGACAGTTAAACTGTTAAACTTAAATATTCTTGCTTTAGCCATTAATCAATCCAGGTTGTTTTAGTGCAAGTTTCCCAGTTTTAGAGATACTGGCTGCAGAAAAATGTGCAACGTCTCTTGAAAATAATGGGATTATAAACCAAAAACTGCCCAAAAAGAAAAAAACAAACAAAAATAAAATACATATAAACTGTAGTGCAGAAATCATGTCCTGGTTATAAAAAAATAAAAATAAAAATTGCCAACCTTCTTAAGCAGTTTCATGTATGAGCAATTATCTCTGCAAGCAGCCGTGTCACTGTGCACAGTTAGTTCTCATCTACTCGTGAAGAGCAGCTTGTGTTTGCAACTCCGTGACATGATATAAAAACCTGTATACATACATAATATTTGAGCTCTATTGTTGGTATTTCAGTTTTTGATGCAAAAAGGTCCTAAAACATTGTTTTATTTTAAATGAAACCACCTGATTTAATGCAGAGTTTCCAGTCGAGACTGACACAGACCTTTAGGAATGCCATCAAAAATCTACATATGTCGTTAGCTACCAGACTTGAAAAAATGAACAGTAATGTTAATCTCTTTAAACTGCTCAGGAGTTAATTAATGTAACTCGGTGAGGACTCCGCCCTAACATAACAGCCTTTGGAAAAGCACCTTTTTTGTAAAACCTGTGAATGCTTTAATATGTGTTTCTGTCAAACATGTTTCACAGTGTCCTGTCAGTGGGTCTGCTACAGTCTGAATGACAGAAAACTTGAGATCAAACTGTGACCAGGAGGGTTTGTGCAGACGCCTGCGAGCCCAGCGGTTTATTATGATCGCACGGACTCATCTGCTGAGGCATTATTATGCACTAGCTCCACATGCGGTTTCTCATGGCTGCTCTGCTTTTACCACTTATGCTGGACATCCTGCGGTCCCACTTGAGTCCGTTTTCCAAACTGACAGTGAATTGATGACTTATCAGAAAGCCTGTTCTCAAACCTCTGAGTTCTTTGGGAGCCTTGTTGTTGATGTCACTACAAATCCCCTGCATCTAAACTCTAAAGGGAGCAGCTTGTACATTCGTTGCTCTCTTTAGCTTCAGCTGCTATTTCATTCTATTTCAGCTTTTTCTGTTTGTGCGCTTCACCCACTGCATTCTTTAATGGTACCGTTTGTTCCACGAGATTTGGCCCGGCCTACGAGCAGGTGCTGTGATCTCTGGTGAAAAACTGAGCTTCTGATCCAAGTCAGCATGCATCTTCCAGTTCTGGACGGTATCCAAGAGTGTAGCTCCCACTCTTGCAGACTGATTTGCTATACGTTTACCTGCTCTCATATATGCGGTCGGTGCTTACAAGTCAAGGAACAGGGGAAGGGATGGCATTCGTGTAAGTCTTGTTCTATGATGACCGCCAAATAATGATGGATGCAAAGCTCTTAGCAAGAGCAACATACATCCGTGTGTTTCTCAACCATGCCCTTCAGGGTCTTCACTAATGATGACTGAGACCTCACAGAGTTATTCAGAAAGCCAAGGCAGGTCAGACAGATATGAGTGTGCACTGATTATCTAATCTAACTCTGAGCGAAACAGGAAGGTAGAGTATATACACAACTGTAGAACAGCTCATTTAGGATGACATGTTTTAACTGAATGTAAAGACCAGCTTCTGACTCCACTCCCCAACAAGTAACATGTTCTCTATGTAAAATATTTGTTACACCCAACATTTGTCAAAGTTTCATATCTAACAGTAACTAATGTATATCTTTCATTCTCACCAATCTATTCTCCTCCTTGCCAAGGATCACCTCGTAATGGTTGTCCATGTTCCCAAAGTGCTGTGCTATGGAGAGGCCGCTGAGGCAGTAACACGTGTGGTAAAAATCTCTGGACCTGGACATACCAACACAATAAAACAGGGCAGTGATGTAAAAACTCTACGCATGAGTAAAGCTGTACAAATATGTAGTGTGTGTGTGTGCTCAGATGGTGTGGTACTGACTTGCCAGGCTTATCCAGAAGGCCTCCTGTTGGGTTCTGACAGCACAGGAGGATGTACTCCTGCAAGGCCTGCTGCTCAAACATCCACCGCTGCTGACTCAGCTCTGACTCTCCTGAGCAAACACACAGGTCAGTCACAAGAGGGGGGAAAAAAAACCCAACAAAAAAAACCAGGATGATCCCACAGAAAATTCAGACCTCATTTTCAACATGAAAATGTGAACACGCTGGCTATTTCCAGTTTTAACATTTTAAAAACCCCACAGAATAACAATACAAATTATAGTCAAAATCTAAAGAAAAATGATCTCCTAACCACATATTCTCTACTTTTCTGATTTACATTTTAGAACGAAGGACTGCTTCACGACAAACCTTAAGATTTTGACACTGATAAATCTATCACTCACTATTCAAAGAGTTTTGGGTGAAAAACTACTAAAACTGGAAAAATATTCTATCTTTGTTGCACTGACATTCTTTCAGATCAGCTGAAGTCAGTGGAGACTTGCTGATATTATCATTTCAAATAATTCTGACCAAAAATCACGCTTTGTTAAATTGGTTTTCCTCGTGCCGCTTGATGCTGCGGTAATGAGACCTTTCCATTTCGAACTGTTTTAAGAGTTTAGGGTCAAAATGTAAAGGCACCTTCTTTGTATAAGGCTCTGTGGAGTAAAGGCAGGAGTCCAGCTTGCCAGAAAGAGTAGCAGCCGTCCACTAGTTTATTGCAGCGGCCTTGGAAACCTCCTTCAAATCGCATCTGCCTGCTGACCACCCAACGCTGAGGAGGAAAGGTGACAAACACACATTTAAATACACTGAATTAACAAACAAAACATGTACTGCATGTTATAATGTGTTTGTGTCCCTTCAGCTCTGAGTGGAATCGCACAGCTGAAAACCTCACAGGGTAAGACGAGACAGGAGCAGACCAGACGGGACCTGATATTTTTCAGAATAGGAACGATTTAGAAAACTGCTGATAGTGAGTATGTGTGTTTTGTGCACAAGCCCAATTTTTGGCCACATTAGACAACAAAGAGCGAGTGTTTCAGTTGACAAAAAGGTATACACTGTAAGAGTCCCAATCAGTATTTAAACATGGCGAAAACAGCCAATTTTAGCCTTTAAGTATTTTGGACTAATTTTTTTTTTTTCAATGCAAATTTCCTTCAATTCAGATTTTCTGTTATTTATTTTTCACATAATTCCTCATTAAGTCACAGGGTATCATAGATGCTTCAAACATGCTGCTGCTTTAGCTTTAATTTCACTGCATCTGGGGGCTGAGATAAAAAAAAAATGCTTTTGGTTGGCTACAAATATTGAACTTTGATTTGCTGCAGTGGTGGAGAGCGTTAAAACGGCTCTGAAAATTCTGCTGTTTAAATAGAGCATCAAATTATCACAATGTATTTGATTTATGATGTGCATTGCATAAGTTAAGGAATTTGTAGGAATATCATTTGTGTTCTTTAATAACCAGCAAGAGCAGACTGAGAAAAAGAACATCATGATGTGTCTCCTTTTCTGTGCACTTGTGCTACAAGCAGCTGGCGTTCATGTTGATGGAGCAGAAAATAATAGTTGAGCAGCCTGCACTTTTTTGAGGAGTGGAGATTACATAACCGTCATTTTTATTGCACAAAAGGACAAGAACGTAACAGTGAAGCACAAAGTAAACCCAGGCCAGGAAACGATCCACTCTAGCTAACGCAAAATTGAACTTTGTGTTAGCACGCTGGCTTTGCAGGTGCTTACAAAGCCCACAGAGTGAGTGTGTCCTGAACCCAGCCCAGCAGCCAGAGCCTTCAAGAGGTAACAGAAGCAGTGACGCTTGTAATATTTCCAGCCTCCATTTGTTTCTACACCAGATGAAACTGTAAACTGCAACACATTTTTATTTGAAGTGCTCTTTGGACCAGATTTGCTCTCAACTTGGTGCACACACACAAGAAAAACGGTCATTTTGTTCTGATAGCAGGCCTGAAATATAATAGAAACTGCTCAGTTAAGAAAAGAGAAACAAGGGTTAGTCCTAGTGAGTGTCCGAGGGCGAAAGAGTTAATAATGTGACAATACCCAGGCCATGTAACACAAAAGCTGCTGATCAATGGCTAGGTTATTGGGGGAGCAGCCTAAACAAAGTCTTCCAGACAACCCACTCCACCAGTTCTTCTGCATGGACACCAAGGCATTCCAGCTGAGAGATGTAATCTCCCCAGCATGTCCTGGGTCTGCTCTGCCCCCTCCCCCCCCTTAGGACATGTTGGAACACCTCACCTCAGAGTCACCCAAGAGATACTGGAGGAGAGTCACCTGAATGAACAAGCTCCCACCTCTCTCTTTTAAAGGTTAGAGACTGGCCACATATGTAGTCATCCAAATTTGGATGAGGGAACTAATGGGTGTTTGCGTGCCACAGAGGCAAATTTTAATTAGTGCACCTTCAAAAGGTTTTAAATGTCTTAATCATGTGAGAAGTGGCCGCCTTTACCAAAGAAAGAAAAATGCAAGGCAAAGAAACAATGCGGCTTGCGGTAAAATGAGTATTTTTGCCTGGTTGTTCACGGATTTAATGAATTCCTAATGAGAATCTGGACCATGATCATCACAAGATCATTAATAGATCCCCATGAAAATAAACAATGACACCGCATAAATATGAAAGTTGTTCATTGTGAATTATCTATGTATCTCAGTGTTAATGATTTATGCATTCTCCCACATACAATTTCTAGGTTATGACTCAAATTGTGCAGCGAGCGAGTCTTGCTGCTTTTGATATTCTCCACCTGGTTTCAACTTACAACCTTTGCTAACCCGCCGCCTTCAGTCAGAGCCATATGCCGGGCGTTTCTGAGGGACGGACAGTGACACACAACACCTTAGAGAGCGCGCTCTGTTGACCTGCCACTTGAGCTGGGTGTTGGGTGAAAATAACTGTAACGTTGTTTAAAGGTGGAGGGACTTTATAGCAGCGTGCAAGCAGGTGTGGAAACAGGTTTACTTAACAGTTACATGCAAATGTAATCACACAGTATTTGAATAAAAGCTAAGGGATGATGACATCAAGTGTTTTATGAGCTCAATAAAATATAAAAAACTGCAGACTGGCCTTCTGGTGACAGCCTTATCATTTTATCTTCTCAGGATGACCTCAAGCTTTGTGTCAGCGAGCATCTGCCCCACTGCAGCTTCCCTGAGCATGACTCAAAAGCTCGACCTGCATCAAAGCTAAAGGGCAGCTGCTCCCAACCTTTTACTACTAAGGAAGAAGGGAAATGAGATTTCCCTGAGGGGAAAAACAAAGCATCCCAACAGTTGCAAAACAAAAACTAATGTAAACCTTGTCCTCCAGAGCACTCCGAGAGTAACTACATGCACAGATGTTTATTCTACAGTACAGAAAGAGTGATTGAATACACGGAAGCACATTAAGGTGCAGGAAAACAACATAAAGAAGTCATAAAAGGAACATCGGCAGTTTTAGTAGATTCAGGAAGAGTGTAACCCGTGTTTTTTATAGCTCCAGTTTACAGATGTCTCCTAAACAGCTCACGTGCAGGTCATTATTAAGTTACTCCTGTGTAAAGAGGACAGCTACAAGGACTCGGCGAATGCGTTTGTGTAATTGTGCCAGTTTAAACGAGTCTGTGAAGAAAGAGCAGGTTGCAGTTTTCCTCGAAACTGCTTCAAATAAATTATGAGTCATTTATCACAGAAACCAAACATCAAACTATCAGAATAAGGAATTTTGTAAAAGCTGAACATTTCTAGGCTGCTTTTTTTTTTCTATTTTTTTTTTAACTGAAGCCCTGTACGCATGTAAACCAGTGGGAACTACAGTCATTATGCTAACCTAGGTGACATCAATAAATTCAGGCCTCCTCTTTTATCAAACAGCAGTAACATTCACTCTTTAACTTGGGACCCGCTCACTTCATGTAATCTGTGGTTATTTTGTTGCTTGAAGTCACTGAATACTTATTTCCTTTTAGTACTTCATGATGAGGTTTGCATTACTGCGACGTGTGATTGTGCACAATAGAAGTAACATGTAGTGTAAAGATGTATGCAAGGACAGTTCCTGAGTGACTAATTTTGGGTTTTTCTCGCCTTTATTAGATAGTTTTCAGTAAAGAGGAGACAGGAAAGATGCCCAACAAAAGGCCTTTGGTCAGAGTCAAACCCAGGCTGCTGCATTTGGGCTTGCATTATCTGCTTGCCTGCTCAACTACTGAGCTAAACCAGAACCTGATGTTTGGCACTTTTTGTGAATGTTTAACTTGGGAATTAGAGGCCTGTGAATGCATTAAAGTCAGTAAATATTATCACAAAGATAGTAAGTATGAGGACAGCTTAACAATAAGTGGATCAGATTAATGTTTGTCGAATAGGGGAAGGAAAGACTGACATAGAGAGATGTCTCCACATTTTTCAGAAGATAAAACTTTGTTGTGAGTTGCAACATTGTATTTGATTTTTAATGACATTTTCTGCTTGCTTCGTCACAGAACTGAGCACCCAACTTTGAAAGCGATAAAACTTTAGCACAAAGCCCCTGTTGTGACTGACAATGATAGCATCTTTTTCTGCTGTTGGGACACAGACTGAGCATTTGAGGTTACAATAGAGAGGAAAAGGCGGGGAGGGAGGATGTGCTCACCAGCAAGGCTTTCAGATCCAGCATGTGTTCTTTGCCCAGGATGACAAGGGCGGCTGTACCACAGAACGTGTAACCGCCGTGTGCCTCCAAACCCGGTACTCCACTTAGACCACCCTCCCAGTTCTGACAGCTAGAAATCAGTAAACCATGTAGTTAAAAACCAAAAACAAAAAAACCCATACACTAAAAAGCAGGACAAAAATGCTCTTTAATAATTTACTCAGAGTGCTGTGGTCGGTTGTTGTACCTGAGAATCCAGTTGGTTGTGTTTTCAAACAGTTTAGGTGTGAGGATGTTTGTGAGCGATGCTACCGAAGCTGCACAGTATGCACTCCTAAAAAAGCAGAACAAACAAATCAGGCTGATAAAGATCACGATAAAGTTGAGGGGGAGCAGGAAGTCTGCTCTCGCTAAACATCATCATACTGTAGTTTTAGGCTGCCAGCAGACCAAACATAAACATCCAATTTGCCATTTATGTTCCACTGCTGTTCAGTCACAGTCATTTTGACTGTTACATATTTTGTTTCCCTGCAATGTTGAGACTGCAAGGAATCATAACTAAACTAGAATTCAAGAAAGGTGTTTTTTTTTTAATCTTTGATATTGTCAATAAATCACTTGAAAAGCTCAGGTATCGGACGTGCATAAAACTCCTTATTTGGTTGCAGAGATCATCCAAAAACTCAAAAAGTGTCTTTATGATGAACACCATGGTTATAGTTCATGTGGGTTCACAAAAACTATGTTAACTAAATAACTACTGAGAGGTTCAAGCCAAAAACAAACAATAATCACCAGCAATGAAAGAAAGACTGTTTTAATAATTGATGTTAATTTGATTTAAATTTCTTTCAAATATGATAACACAGGCTTGCTGCTTTTAGTGTGCATGAACCGATGTGCTTATGTGTGCTGGGAAAAACCTTAAACCAGGTTTGTAGAAAGACAAGTTACTTTTTTTCCTGTTAAGATGTCGAAACAAAACACAAATCTGGAGCAACTATGTGATGTTATCATATTAATATGGACCAAAATCTATGGAAAATGTTTCCAGCATCTTGTTGAACCTATGAAACAAAAAAGGCAAAACAGGATCCAACCTGGAACTGGCAAGCTGTACCTAATAAAAAGTTCCCTTGAATGTATAAGCCACTTCTTGTTGGAGTACTTTCATCTGGAAAATACATTTAGTGCTGCTCGTGAACAGTGACAGCAGCCAGACTTGTTCGTGGTAATTAAATTGAATGTGTGTTTTTTTTAAAAAGCTAAGCTATATCAGACTTCTAGTAGAAAACAGTGATTACACAAATAAGGTAATTCAATCTTTTCATAACACTGTATAGCACCACACTTACACTAAAATCAATCAGAAAATCCTGTAATTAAAACCCCTAAAAATCTTTCAAAATAAGGATAACTTTGTTGACAGTTTAGAAAAATGTGACACAAAATGGTTTATCAAAAACTGAATAGCAAAACCTGCCTAAGAGAAAGACAGTTTCAGTAATACATAATGGCACCTCGATGCTAATTGGTTGGAAACAGATATCAGGCTCCTCTGAGAATGAAAAAGTACCTTCTGAAGTTCTTTGTTCAAAGGAAACTGAACCTCAAAGAACAAAACAAAAACATAACAAAAAGCCCCACATAACAGCCTCAAAGAGGAAAAAACACACACACACACACATCCGAAATGAGATAAATCCACTATTATGTAAAAGAGATGTGGGCATTTCTCATTATTTCCCCTGTTATCAACACTAAAAGAAAACACAGGAGAATATAAATACAAAGCAGAGTGTGCTTAAGGGGAAATTAGCCTTCAAAAACGACCCCTTACTGTGATCAACACAGTATGGACACCAAAGATGTTTGGTGTCCAAGCAGTCATCAAAGATGTAGTTAACGATATAAATTTTCTTATGTGGTGAAAAGCAAATTCTAAAAAATAAATAGAGGAATCAGAATTTATCTTCTGGGGCCTCACCTGACATCCACCTCTCCACCGACGTGCATCACAAAGGAGCCATCTGGCTGCTTCACTGACCACAAGAAATCTAGCAGCTTCTCCCTGGAGGAAGTCAAAACAGAAGGGGGAGAAGGGTCGATTAGAAACAAGGATGAGTTCATGGTGTAAAGAAGAATAAACAGAGGAGAGAGAGGGCAGGGGGTGGAAGAGTAACTGCTGCAAATTTAATAAAGCACTAATGCAAAGTCAACACCCGCTGTCTAAATCTGCGTCGCTGCGAAGAAACGGGAATCGCTGCTCAACTGTACATATGCACGCAAAACTTCACCTTTTCTCCGTCACGCAGAGTCAATTAGGAGAAAAACAACTCATGTAAACAGTGTTTCGAAATGCTCTTATAATGATCTGCTGGTTAAATACCATTAACATGATCCATAGCTGCGACAACCCCCTCCAACTGTAAGAAAATGTGTTATAGTGGTTATAGCATAGGAGGGAAATTCAGTTACACAAACAAATTTAAAGGCATAACTTATGAATTTCAATTACACAGCCACAGTTTAGTTTCATCTTTATTTGTCAGAGAACAAACTGCACAAAAAGATTCATCTCATAGGATAACTGCAAGCTAATTCCAATCTAAAGCCCACAGGCATGTGGACACAATATTAAATAGCCAATAAAATACAAATAAATATCCAAGATACAATAAGAGCACTGTAATAAACTATGCAAGTCTAAAAGAAATCCAATAAATATCATCACATAAATTAGGGGTTGTCTGACATATTAATTTCAAACAAACTGAGCTGCTTTAACAGAAGCTGTTTTGTGTTTGTCATGTTGTAATTTTACCACCCTAGCAGCACACTGTGTGATCATACCTGTCTATAACATTATAGGCCTCATCTGTGCCGATGATGCAGAGGGCGTTGACGGCAGCGTAGGTGGGTGCAAGGTGGGCGTGTTGCCCCGGTCCCCCGGCGAAACCCCCTGTTGGGCTTTGACAGCGTGCCAGAAACTGACACACACTGGAGAGCAAAGATACAGAGGTTATGATTTCATTATTTATTTAATATACAAACTGACAACCACAAAGAGCAGCCAAATGGTACTACATGAATGTACTACAAACACCAGCATACTCTTTCTTACATGCAGGATTGCTGAAATTGCACAGCAGCAATAAAACACTCATTAATTGTATTGAGAGTGTGAACAAATGTATTAGCCCACCACCCAAAGGTTTACCCCACAACTGCCCTAAATTAACAGTAATTGCCAAAAATCATATTAATGTTTGTAAAGGCTAATCCAGCAGCAATAATGCTAAAATATAATTACTGTTTTTAATCAATTTTAAAATTCACTGTTTTACTATTTTTTCAGCTTTTTTGTAAAACACATTTGTTTATTTATTCGTTTGATTAAGACGGCAAGTTACAGTTACCATTTACCCCAGATCTGTGTCAACACCCAAAGGGTTCGCAATTTTTGGCACGTTTAGGCAATCTGCAGAAATGTATGTTTGCACAGATGAGTTTTGATGCTCACTTCCTTGAGTTACACAAGATATTGACACAATTTCTAAAAAAAAAAAAAAGCTGATATCTAAACATTATTTTTAGAACCAAATATTCAAGGAGGTGTCAAGAAATGGGGATCACAGCCATGTCGTATGTTGCAGTTACACATCTTTAATCATAAAAACATTTACTACCAGTAATTTGTCAGTGTAGTTCTCCTACATTTTTTATAGCCCATCCATCCATCCATCTTCATCCGCTTTATCCGGATAAAGCATTTTTTATAGCTTTTTTTAAAAACAGTAACTGGCCCATTACTGTGGCATGGATAGTGTATTTTTGAAACATTATAGTCTTCAATCTTGAGTTGAGCAGTTTTCTGCTTCTAATCACTGCATTGCAATGTTTTGCCGTAAACCAAAGCTAACAGTAGAACCTTCAGTAGAAAGGTCTGTTAGCAGCTGCAGATATCTAATACCCAATGTGACAAGGAAAATGATATGAAGGTGACGATCAAGTTGCTTTTGCATAGAAATGATTAGAAACCATAATTACTTGCATTAGCACATTTTAAGAATATCTTTCATAGATAAAGGATGTGGTATGAGGCTGATAAGCACAAAAATACGTCATAAATTACTCCACTTGGTCATCTGAGGGTTAAGTAATCCTGTACAAGTATGTACATACAACAGCTTTTCTTTCTGTTTAAAAGTTTGACACTAATTATTTCCCCTGACTTGAACAAACCACTTTTTCTACACGCTACACAGTTTCCGTTTACTAAATAATCACAGCTCCTATTTTCTATCTCAGGCCGGCACAAAGTTGGAAGGCTATAAAACACGCTCCACTGGGCTATTTCACTTTAGCTGACGTGTCATACCGCATAGACCAACTCTACCACAGGTCCCTTTCTTTCCGGCCTCCATGCACCACGCTGCTTCTCTCACAAATGTCCTCTTCATCCTCCGCCATGGAGAAAAATAATAAAACTGTAAGAGTGCTTTGAGCCAAGTGAGTTGGAAGGGAAACCCACTTTAATTTTGGCCAACCGGTCTGGTGCCAACACTGACCTGAGAACAGTGTACACTTCATAAACCAGAGAAAGCAATCTCTTGTAGGTTGCATTGTTATAGATCGTTGAACAGGGCCAGTGTTTTTCTATGTGTGAGCACAAAGCCATCACGTTGGTGCCCGGGCAGTGCCAGCCGGTGTGCTGGCACGCCTCACGGTTATAATGAGAGCGTGGGCTGGCAGCCTGGAATGGCGACTCGCTACGTGGTTTGCAGAGTGCTACTTTTGACTGGCAGTAATTTAATCAAATGACATTTTGGTGGCAGTGAGAGCAACAGTGTTTGAAGCCATGTCAGCATAAACATGCTTAAAAGTACACCTGCCAGTCGTGCACAATGTTGTCATCACTTTTAATCACACATATCAGGCATAATAACTCTTGGAAAAACCTTCATTTCACTGCTTCAAAGATCAACACCCCAACTTTTTATTACTGTGAGTTTCTATTACAGAGAATAAATTAAACTTCTTGAAGTTGGCTATGGAAACAAGGACAAGGAATGATTTAACAGCAAAGCCCTGGCCAATGCTGCAGCTGGACAGGAAAAAAATAAGCATTTTATTGGTCATTATATGGTAATTTAATCAACATCTTTCATCTCTTACCACTTCTGGTTCTGTTTTATAAAATGGTGACTTGTGTTTTAGGAAGGGAGCCAGAGGATAGGAGGAGTTTACAGTAACATTGGTACATGTAATGTAGTATAATGTCTGCGTCCAACACCCTGAACCTGTGGTGGGCCACTTGTAATCACGAGGCTCTTGAATAGGTCGCCCGGTGGGAGAAACCTGTCTACAAACAATTGTAGTCTGACTCGCACTGCTGGCACATGATCCCCTTCAATTCATAACAGTCAGATTCCTGACACGTTGTAGTCAGTCAGAGTCAGTCTGCACCAAGGTTATTATCGTTAACGAAAACTAACGAAATAACGAAAACTAGAAGTGAAAAAACATTTTCGTTAACGGAAATAAAAATAAAAACAAAAAAAGGAAAACTAACTAAAACTATAATGAGTGTTCACAAAACGAACTAAAATTAACTGAATTTATAGTAAAAATGTGTTTAGTTTTTATTGATGTGTGCGTGTCATACAGTAGTCAAGGGTGAAAAGGAAGTTTAGTTTACAGATTTTTTTCTTGCT